AAAAAATTTCATAAGATTAAACAATGAAATCGACAGATGAAGGTGGTTTGCACGGTTTACACAAATGAGGGCGGTTTTCATATGATCACTCCTTTACACACACACACACACACATATATATATATATATATATATATATATATATACACATACTATCTTATAAAGCAAATTTGATAAAAGTCTTAAAAACAAACTTAAATGCATAAGGTAATGTTTCTTTATGCATAAAGTCTTAAAAGTTTTAATTACAAGTCATTTATGTATATGATACGACTCAACAATGTTTCACCTTTTACAACTCATATTTTTAAGTTTTATCTTTCATATATTTAGTTTTGCTTTCCAATAGACATTGAAAATTTAAACCATCTACTCCTTTCAAATTTTGACCCTTTATGTTCTCAAGATTTTCATCTTACCATAAAAAAAGTCTCTTACAATTTCAAATTTCAAGTATAAATTTCATATTTTCATAATTCACAATTGATTTTTCCCAATCACCTCCATTGCCCTAGCTACATTCTTCCTCGTCTCCGTTGTTCCTCGTCGTCAGTGGCGGATCTAGAAACTATTATGGTTGGGGGCACACTTAGGAGTGTCGATTTTTTTTTTTAAAACCGAACAATTCGTCCGAACCAAAAAAGGTTTCGGGATTTCATTTTCAGCTTAAACGGTTCGATTAACCGAATAAAGATAACTTATTCGGTTCGATTTTCAGTTAGAACCTTTTACTGTTTTGGTTAAACCGACACATTATACTTTTATTTATATATTTTCGGAGCAGTTTACACTTAAAACAAATAAACACATTGCTCATCAAATAGCCTAACTGCATTATTCTGGCAGTTTCTCCTGCCAACCAAGATCTTGCAACATCCGATTTGATTTGCCTACAAAATTAACCTAACATTTGACATTTCCATTTGATTTGCCTACAAAATTGCCTACAAAATTTACCTGACATTTGACGTTTCCATTTGATTTGCCTACAAAATTAACCTANACATTTGACGTTTCCATTTGATTTGCCTACAAAATTAACCTATCATTTGACATTTCCAGTTGATTTGCCTACAAAATTGCCTACAAAATTAACCTAACATAAAGCATTTACCAAATCAATCACCAATAAGCAAACAACAAAATCAAAGTAATCAAAATTAAAGACCGAAATTTGGAAATTAGAATTTTTACCCAAATTATTAGAGTTGCTTTGCTTCAGTCAAATCAGTCCCAGTCCACTGTCGGCTGTCGGTCCAGTCTAGGAAACCAGGGAAAGCCGGAAGGAAGAACCGAAGAAGCAGGCAACGATGAAGATTGAAGAAGAAGAAGAAGAAGAAGAAAAAGTGGCGTGAACTTGTCGTCTATCTCTACTCTCTCTGTCTCTCGTCTGTTGAAGGCTGAAGCGAGCGCCGAGCGCGAGCGGTGAAGGGCAGGAAGGGTCTGGGTCAAGGCACCATGAACTGTGAAGTGAAGAAAAGAAGGGGGCCTTTTAAATCATTATGTTGGGGGCCTACTTATACTAAATTAAAAATTACAAGTAAATTTTTTTTTGGGATTTGTAAACTTTTTTTTTATTGGGGGCCTAGGACCCCAACCATTATTGAATGCATCCGCCCCTGCTCGTCGTATCTCCTCCGGTCACACAGACACCCTTACAACTTCCACACGTTTTTATACTTGTATAAAAGTCTTTCTTTGGCTTTCCATTTCACTACCAGGGTTTGAGCTAGCTGCTTATTTTATAGGTTGGCATTTTGGAGCTCCGGATCTACATTATAGTATTTGTATACATTAATAAACCAATTTGCTTTTAAGGGTTTTTTTTTGATTCAATATATTCGAGATGAGTTGTGATTCGGGTTGAGTACCTTGCTCCACCGCTCCAGTCCTTGGCAAATGCTTGTATCTTGCTCCACCGCTCCAATCATTCGGGTTGTGATTAAGGGTTTATGAATAACTGTAGAACGTAATAACACCAACATTTTGGATGGATGTATATTTGAATCTAAATTAGATATAAATGTAGTAGGCTTTGTTACATCTTTAAGAAATTTGATATCTCAAAATTGAATAATCTTAATAAGCTTTTTACATCCCGCTGTATTGCGCGGGTAGACAACTAGTATATCTATAAAGCAGAATCATGATAGGCTGACGTGACATCTTCTCGACGTAGAGATCATATTTTCCTCTTCTTTCCACATTTTGACTTTTTTTCCGTAGTAATCTT